GGTAAATGGGTTCTTCATAAATGAGTCGAATTTTTAATTTGACAGACCGTACTAATCACATGGCGACAGAAACGGAAGTTGACCTATTCAAATATATGCCATCTGGGTTTTGTCAGACAGTATATGTATATATACAACGCTACAGCGATATCTTACTTTTTACATACACACACGTCTGTGCGCGTGCCATGTTAGAAGATTGACGAATCACAGACGAGTATCGTTGTCGAGCCTGCGTAGTGTGACCGGAAGTTGAGGACACAAATCACACAACGATCAGGTTTATTGTAATCGATGTGTTTAAGTTTCTCATAAAAACGTTGAAGAGTATCAGTCCCAATGGCATGAACTGTGCTTTAAAATGTAACACTGACCCCTTTTATATCGGGGTCATAGTCGGCCCCTAAAATTCAAAGGAGCAGCTGGCGAAGGCCTGGCCGCATGTCCGGGGGTCGCGAAGAGCCCTTTGTTAAATACCGGTTAGGCACCATCGTCTTCTGTAATGCAAATATTCCCCACACCTGTTACACCGCCGAAGTGTGTTGGGTACCGGACAAAGCTCGACCCTACCTGCCTATTTAGTCCCTTCCACCTTAAAAGAGAGAAAGAGGAGGGTGGTTGATACAGTTGGTGGATCATTGTCTTTATTGTTAAATATGTTTGGGTACCCTATCTTATTCAGATATACTTCTTCACCTGATGAGAGCAGTAAATGTCATTGCTATAAGTCCTGTCACTATGATCTCGCAGAATTTTTTATCAGAGTACCATCTATCGTGCTGAAGTGTAGACAATTATCTTTATACTTATCCCTCTTTAACAAGATCTGTATAAAAATAATGATCATGATATTCACTTCTCAGTCAGTGTTGTGTTAACTTTTTTGTTACTCAGATTCGGTTCGATTAAAACTTCCTGCGTCAAGATAATAAAATTTCAAGCGTCTGTCGGCATATAATACTATTTTTTATAATTTTGTGGTGTTCCATTTAAATCTTAATCTAAGCGACATTCTTGTCTATAGGATAAACAGCTTAATTAAGGTAATGATATTTATTTACATACAAAAACGTATTCAAGCGTAACGGAATTAATTACAAATTTTGTGTATTTCTACTGTCGGTATTACAAAGTCCACGGCCCGCATTTCATTTCTCCAGCTAACAACAACAGGTAAAGGTTTTAACACCTGAGTTTCCAAATTACCTTCACCCCAAACAATAAGAACACCTGTTGTGCCGGAGCGATGACGCGGTGTATTCAAACAGAATTTCAGCACATGTATATATCATATATTCACTGCTAGAGTTTAAGACAAAGAGGTGCAGTGTCACACCATCTGTTCTGTGATTGTACTGTAGCGTTTGTTTATTTTATCTGTTACGGGGCCCGGGTGTTTTGAGTACCTGTAACGGGAACGAGCCACGGCTAGTACCGTTACTGAGGCAGATGGCTACACATATAGCAGGTGACAACGCTTTGAAAAAAAAAAATACAGCAAAAATATCCTGGATCGAAACAAAGAGTATTCGCGCCAAACGGTCCTGGATTATCGTGGCTCATCACCAACGCATTCCGGCACAGAAGCCGGCCTAAGCATTGTGAGACAATTACAATAGCACACAAAAGAATATGCTAATTAGTACTCAATTGACATGCGCAGGTTGTCAGCGTAATAACTTGCCGTACGGCTTTAGGAGGGGATAGAGTGTGGGAAATATCTCTCTGCTCCCCCTCATTAGAATTACCTCACATTATTATGTAAATAAACAAAATGGTGGAACATCTTTTCCATCCCTTCCGTCGGTCCAACATGGATTACAATATCAGTTGTAATGTTTGTTGTTGACATTATTTTATCGGTAGTGTTATTCCGGATAACCTTATAGTAAGTGATACTCCAGGGACAGATACGATTCACAAATAATCACCTGTTCCGGTATTATAATTGCCCCAGTGGTGTGGAATATTTATTACTTCACAAATCATCTGGTGCGAATCATTCTGATGTGGTATCATTGATTTTGTGTTATCGATCTATTGTCAACATCATCAATCACCCGACGTTATCGGTTTTGTAAACAACACATGTGACATAATATATCCATATCAAAATTTTAAATATAGACTTACAAGAGCGATTTAAATAATTGTAGTTCATAAAGGTTCAGGTTAATCTAAAAACACGTTAAAACCAGCTCGTAATATATATTACAATCCCTTCGGAACTAGAACATGTTATCGATATTCAAACACACGTGTCCACAGGGAACATTTTAACAGAAATTATACAAACAGTTTGGACAATATAATTAGTCAGTTAAATCTCATGTGTCCCATGACTGTGTAATAGAGTTGGATTTACGTTTAAAAAAGAATCTTATTACCACCAGTGTGTGGTGATAAACGGTTAAAAATCGTATATATGTCACGTGCATCAAATTGCCTTATTAATTAATTATATTCGATTTCCTTTGTGATATAAGATATATCTTGACATCATTTGTAATTAAACATACTTTGCCACTTATGACTTTTTAAGTCAATCAAGCGCAATATTGTTTATACGGGGCTATGTTTGAACCCGTACAGTTCCCTAGTTAGTTGGCAATTGAGTGTTAATTAGGTTATCAATAACTACTTGAACAGTTAATTCATTAATAAGCGGGCTCTTTAAATGTGAAGTAACGTGTTTTTTTGTTAACGCACAAGCACCGTCGGGCGACTCAATGACGTCACTCGTGTCCCGGGGTAGGGGGTGACACATTGAGATGGTCCTTTACAGTAAGATAACGCCATGGCCCCTTTGAGTCGCTGATTAGCCCTTTTCTGTGTTCCCACGGGGTGAGCACTGTTTTTTTCTACACACAGGTAGGTGTGATCTACCTGGCGCCTTAGCCCCTTGATTAGAGAACTTGGGCACCCGCTGCGCGGTCGTCAATACGCTTATCAATTAACACCCGTGCCCTGCTTTGTGTGGACACGGGAGATCGTTGATTTAATTAGCCTGGACAATAGGTAGATCAACAGGTGAAAGTTACCTACCTGAGCACCTTACAATGGGGCCCAATTATCACCACGAATACGGCGACCCCTCAAAAGTGTCAGACCGATCGTTTACAAACGTCCGAAATCGCGGGTCTGACGCTGGAAAACATCATCGTTTTGTGGAGTAAATTACCGGTATCAATATGCTGATTGCCTTTCAAGGGCACTAAATCAATGCAGAAAGTCCATAGTCAGAATGAAGTTTCAGAACGGCTATACCAGGGGCACTTATCTTTAAAAGGATTAAAAAAAAAACTATATGAGTTTGAAACCGTTCTGTTTGATAATAGGAGAAAACCTGTATTAATATATATTTAGTGGTTTATATAGAAAGTTGGATAACGGTACTTTCCCTATTTATAAATGTATGGATTTTTAATTTTTCTTGTCCTTAAAGAGTGTGTATATTTAAAGCAAATGGAAATGAATTTTGAATTTAAATAAAACGACACCGATTTTATGTAAAGTTGGTACAGAACATGGTCTTACCTGTGTATTTTTTACCTGTAAAGGTGTGTCTCGATACAGTGCGTGCTGTCTATCCATACAGCCTGCATATGAAGGAGCGACCTCATGTTTGTCAACTTTTAATTGCAAGAGGAAAATATATTTAAATAAAAAAACGTGACGTGTTGTGTAAGGGTAGTATGTGATTCATATAAATGGGTTTCGATTCGCTGACGCTACAGGTGCGAGGCAGAATGACAAGTGTGTAATTCAATATATGGACGGCACTCATCATAAAGATATCTCCGGCAATAGTAAATAACCTGTTGGTTGCAGTTTTCACCTATATGCAAATTACCTTCAGCTGGCGCGCTCAACGAGATGATACACTCGAGTGCTTCAAGGTTGCCTGGCACACTTTGGCTCGTGCCGGTCCTCTGTCACCCGCTGCTGATTGGCGGAGCAAGAATCTTGGCTCCGCCTCTGTCGCGCGGCGAGGTGGGGTGATTGACGAGGCGCACTCGAGCGAGACGTCCGCAACACAACGTACGTTTGTAACTGCATCTTCTATGTAATGGAATGTCGAATATACTATCACAGTGCAATGCACCGTCTTATCGCTAAATCGTACCAACATGGTACCACGTGTTAGATTGTACTTAACACGAGTAGTCTCTCTTACTGTTGTACTAATCACAAGAAAATTACCAGTAGAATAAAGACTATCAAGCATCACATACACACACGGAGAAAACACCTGTATTGTAATTAACAGGTGGATTCCTAATTACAAACCACGGTAATGCCATTAATAGGGATTACAAATATGTTAATTCATGACAGTTATGTTTAGCATGGAGATCTGTCAATCTTCTCTAATTACCACATGCAGGTTATGACCAAGATTTCAACATCTTTCTTATATTTCAACTATTAATTCACTTGCTGTCGTTTAATGGACATTTGATAAGAAATGAAAATTAATATTCTTGATTAATTAAGTATACCTATCATTAGTAGTTGTGCAAGTCATATTTTGTTCATTTAAGATCGTAGTTTCGAGTTCATCAAAATGCTGAACTTGTTTTTTCACTAATGATTGAAGTTTAAAATAAATGTCCAGATGTTGACTATAAAGTGCCCAACAGGTGCTTGAACATCTTATCCATCAAGCCGGAATCATGAACCGTGTCTTCCCGCCAAAATTTGTCGTAGCTTTTCTTTACCTATGTATATCAGACAGGCATTTATCCTCAAAGATGATGTATTTTATCTCGAGTCAAATCGTCGAATAATAAAACTGTTGCTTCTAACAGCGCGTGCCGCTCTCCTTATTTGGAAGGTAATTTGCATTGGCAAAGGCAGGTCAGAGCGACAGGTGTTTTAGTAGGGACAGCTGAAGACATAGAACAAGTTAGCTACCTCGACACAAACACAAAAGGCGCGGAGCGGCGAAGCACGTGCCGACATAGCGAGCCGGTCTCGGAAACAACTTGTGGATATTTATGTTTTAAAAAATGTCGAAAATTGTAGGATTAAACTTGGGATTTATTTCTAATCGATCAGGTAGGTGATTGTTTCGGCAGGACAACGGAAGGAATTAATCTGCTCTGTAAACCCCCAAATATACAGCGGGTATCCTCAGCCGTTTGTGTGTAAGATACCTCACCGACAGATGTGTGCCCTATTTTTTCCGGTTTGAAAAAGGAGCACGAACTTGACAATGATTTACCTGGGTTATTTACCTGATAAACCTTCTAGCATAACGCTTGGAAGCCTGGAGTTGTGTGCTTACCTTTATCCGTATTGTCAATATACAATTTATACAATACACGTGTTTATTTTATAGACGATACATTTTGTTGGTATCTGTTTGCTACCTGTAGGATACTTTCGTGCCTGTTGCACGTTCGTACTAAGTGTGTAAAACCCGACTCGACGGATAAAAACGTGCTTACAGAACATACATAAAGAAGATATTATGACAGACATATTTTCAAACACATTGATTAAATTATATGGTAAAGTAATTTCACAGAAATGCATTTGTATGTATATTCGAGAAATATTAAAAGTCGATAGTATACAGGTAGACTTAGGGTGTCCCGCTTGTGTATAACCAGTCAATTGTTTAAGACTCCATAACTATACCAAGTGTTTAAATGCTTCAATTCAAACCTCCAGAGTCAATTCGTTTATCACCGGCGATCACTCACTATTGTAGATAACTGTCAATCAACGGTGGGCGGAGCCTAGCCAGAACGAGGCCTAAGCCAGCTACCTACAATAATTTGTGCCGAGTACACGGAGTAAACAACAGGATGAGGGGGACGAGTACACACTTGGTTGTGCTCTGGATTTTAACATTACAGCTATCCATGGTAAGTCACTTACATACATTTGTAAAACAATATATTTATCTACTCGTCTATTGACTGTACATTATTGATTTGTTATTATCTTTGTAAGCGGCGATCTTCATACCGTACTTGTATCACTAAAACTGTACATACATACATGAGCATGTTCCCACTTTGGTTAATTTACTATACTCTAATTTCTTTACACAAGTTACTTATCTTAATTTACATTCCATTTACAGGTAACTTGTACAGCAGTGTTCGAACTTAAATTATCATTGTTTAAAAACGAGGAGGGAGTAAATACAGACGGTAACTGTTGCAATGGATTTCGGACCGATGGGAAGTGCAGTGATACGTGCCGGACGTTTTTTTGGATCTGTCTAACACACTATCAAAAGAAGATACCAGATGATGCCTCGTGTACATTCGCCACGGTCACAACACCAATTTTGGGATCTAATACAGTGAATTTTAGTGCACAGCTTCCTGTGAAGTTTGACAATCCGCTTGCGTTCTCTATACCTTACTCCTGGCCGGTAAGTATCAGCGTCAGCAGCCGTGTTTGTGTACACGTAATTTGTTTACCTAGGTCTGTGTAGTATAAATATTGTCTCAGTACCACTCTTATTACACTTCCTTCAGTGCATGTAGTGCACTTTACGAAACACGAAGTTTGGTTTTAGCACGGTGACAGTTGGAGTGGTATTGCATCACTTGCGTACCCACACCATAGTCATGAACGATTCACATTACTCTTTTGTCGTAAATGAATAGTTTCAACAAATAACATTGTCTGCCCTACAACATGCCTCATGGATTATAGAAAATCGGTAGCTGATGTCGATTCTGTCGTGACTGTTTGGTTATTGTCATGCCGCATGGTTATTGTCACGCTACGGTTATTGTCATATCAGTATAATTATAAAACGTACTTGGATGCGGCAGATCTACTCGCGTCATTATATTAATACATAGTATGGTTATATCGCACCAGTATCACTATGGGCAAAATTGATATTCACAACAGTAACTAGGGGTGATGTTCAGACTTGTATCATTATGGGCAACTTGACATCCATACTAGAGTTGCGATGTGCAATTCGATGTCCACACCCGTTTGGCATGTCGCTATGGGTATGATTATTGGTATCGCTATGGGTGTGAGATTGCCACAGGTATCGCAATGGAACGTTAAGATACCGCAATATTGATTTGCACTTAGTATACCGGTGCTAGCTGGAAACAGCTTGCTATCCAAACTATAATACCATGCCATTCCTTGTTTTTCTTTCAGTTAACTGGTTTATGGGGATTAAATTCGATCTTTTTCTGTGTTTTAGGGAACGTTTTCTCTGATCGTCAACGCTTACCACGATACGACGCTGACCGGACCCGCACAAGGTATGTATTCAGGATGTATTCCTTTCTCCCATTGCCCAGCTTCTCTTTACAGCTTGCTTGGGACATACTCTTACACGTGGATTATTATACAAGTGTTAAAACGTGGATATTCTGTGCCTAGGATGATTCTGTGTTGGGAATGTACGCGTGTGCTATTTAGTGATTGTGTAATGGACGTGGAGTGTAATATCTGGTGGACCCCCTCCCCTGGTACACGGGGGTAACAGTCCCGCGACAGGCCGTTAATATCGTCCCTTATCAACAAATGGCCCGTGGCACGTGCATGAGCGGAGCTTTGGATGTAATCAAAATGTTTGATGTAAAAAAAGCTTGGATCGTAATATGTGATTATGTGTGATGTTGGTAGCGGTTTGTGCACCACGCTAAAACACCAGGAAGTCGACGTGTGTTTTTTTTCCCTGTGAGGACGTGCAAAGGCCGTGCACTGTTGTAGGCACGTGACCTTATCCCCTGTACAAATACGCTGACGGACTACATTGGAGTAATATATATTGTTGTATGTAATAGAAACGGTGCTTGTCGTCTGCTGGACTGGATTTGGGGCCGTGGGACCCCGACACATGGCCGGTAAACAATAGCCTGGCCCGATCTATAAACTCATCGATCCCTGGTAAATTTTCTTTGAAAACACTTGCGGATCGCTGGGACATTATATATACACAGACGAGTATAACACTTGATACAGAACCAGATTGGGTACAAACACACTAATTTGTCCCCCACTAGCCCGACCCGGGTCCAAATTGCATTAGTATAGTCCATGAGAAGTCCAAATTCTGGGGAAAATGAAATGCAAAGGGCAAGTTAAGAATCGCATCGACTGTTTCAAATCAAATGTTATACCGCGATGAATCAGCTTGACACAAAAATCCTAGTCATGTCTAAATGTAGTTCTGTTGCTAAATATGTTTGAGTTTTTTAGTGTCTGGTGACTTTTGCAATAATGACTTCCGTGAATATCGCAGCAACCTTGGATATCTTCCTACATCCTCGTATAAAGTGCTAGAAACTGCAAAGTCTTGATATTTCACAGAGTTTAAAGAAAGTTAGACTAGTAGATGACTTTCTATGTCGCATAAGAATGTTGACATCTGTATATAAACACACTTCTCTTGTCCGTTAGAGTGTAGTTTGTTTGTTAGAGTTAAACAAGGTTAACTTTAAAATTCTAATAGTTCTGTGATTAGCCTGTTGTCATCCTTTGATAATTCTGGGAAGGTTTCAGCTTCCTTGTTCCTTACTGTTACTAGTAAACCGTCAGAGAGCTACATCCACGAGTTGAGCTTTCCCATGGGTTCCACTACGGTTGTGTACCCGAGCTAGGTTTCGTAAACAACTCGTTCCCATGCCATCAGTCATCTACCTGGCTTTATAATATACCATCCAGCGAGCGTAAAGAATAGAGCATTTTTTGCCCGAGTTCGGTTAATTGTGTAGTATTGTAGTGGTAGAATGGAGTAGAGGCGCTCCATCAACAAAAGAGGGGTCTGTAATTCTAGCCAAGTGTCTGGCAGGACTGATGGTCATCTACAGAGTGGTGACAATACGGATTAGGGAAGTGATGGAGGGGCACGCTCGCTTAGCCCCACCTGGGTCATTAGCAGTCCCCTTTCCTGTCACCTATCTCAACCAGATAACGCGTTCTCACGCTCCCATCTCTCTGTTTACAGGAAGCCCCAGGGAACTCGTGTCGACCTTGAAGACACAGAGGTCATTGGATGCTGGAGAGACTTGGCTCTCTTTCACACACTCAACGAAATACACGGAGCTGAACTACAGTTACAGGGTGTTGTGTGATGACAACTACTATGGTTCAAGATGTTCCAATTTTTGTCGACCAAGGAATGACATTTTTGGACACTACAAGTGTGATGAGACGGGTCAGAAGGTGTGCGTGGACGGCTGGGAGGGTCCTTACTGCAACAAGGGTAAATATACTCCGTATGAGCTCAATGTGTGTATAAATTTAGGTACACAACACGTTCAAATTCAAACACATGTACATTAAAACATTTGCAGACAAATGACACTATATACATGAAATACTCGTACACATCGCCATCCTACCTTTACTTACCCAGTACATGTAGGTAATATACATACAGTGGAAATACCTATTACCCGTAAGTACCTAGTATATAAAATGGGATTGTTCATCCTAAAAATACCAAGTACACCCAATTATACATGTTTTCGTTCTTTGTTGAATGCTTGTTAGTGCAGGGTTGCCTTAGTGCACCAGCATCTTCTTATGAGCACATACGTTCTCATACATAAAAACACCTAAATGAATTCTATATGATTCTAACAATGATAATTTGTTAAACACGACGCGGAGAATTAGAAATTGGCGTACTCTTCATAAGCTTGGCGAATTCGTCCAAGTGTTGGGTTTTTTTTACATGATACAAGTTATATCTATGTCCTGACCGATATATGATGAAAGTAATGGAAGCCTTCTACATTTAAAAAAATGCCTACTAGTCGAATAGCATCAGGGTCAACATTTCTATTCTAATTAGGATTGAGAGTTTTAATATACTAAAAGATATATTCAGAGTACGTTGTACGGCAAAAAGGTTTGTTACCAACCCGTGAAATCGACCCAGCTCTAGCATACCTTAATAATGTAAAATTCTACATATTGCTTAGCAAGTTCTGTGGGGACACATTTTCAGCAGAGTGACCTACTTCTGCATTATACGGGAGAAACAATGTTTTTGTGCTGATAAACAAACCAGACAAAGGCATATCTAAACCTGCCAATATACTGTACAATGATCAACTTGTAAGGTAGTATGTTCACGTATACAAAACTAGCGGTTGCTCAATATCGGGTATTGAATTTATACAATATACATTACTATTTGTGAGAACGTAACACGTAAGTCGAAAAATTAACATCTAATCTTCGTATTTACATATACTAACTAAATGGCCAAGAAATGTTTACGAATACAATTTTCAAGTCCTTCGTTCGAATTCACAGTCATTCATGTTCGATATAATCAAATTATGTATAGATAAAGTACCTATAAAATTGCCTTTATCCCCATGAAAGTGTTCAGATGCTCATACTAAAACGTGGAGAGTTTTCCCACCTGAACTAGATAGCGTATCAAATATCCAATGAAATATAGCGTCTCTACCATCTGTTGCTTCCCGCCCGATAGCAGACGAGCGACTCCACCGTAATCTGCCGAGAAAGCTAGCGGACAATTATGACTTGTGTTTTATCGTAAATCAACCAAGTACCTTTAAGTAAAACCATGGAATGGTTAGAAAATCGATTGCTTTGTACAGACATGCACACGCGATCATGTGAAAGTTTGCTTACGGTTTTTTCAGTACGGCGAGGTGGTACGCATGCTTCATCAATAAAATATCGGATAGGTGTGAATGTGTTAGCACGTTAACCTGTTCAACAAGGCCCTGTCTTACGGGGGTTTTATACGTAGTGGCGAAGCGAACCCGTCCTCGGGTAAAAATTAAGGTGCATGAACAACACCCGATTTGCATGAATCGAACATTGAATGTTTTGGTATATGACCACAATAGCAAGTGTTGTGTGTACGTGTCTACCCGAGAATGTCGACAGCTGGGCGAGCATTCCGTCACTCAGTTCCGTACAATGGAGGGCAGCTGGCCCGCTGACTGACTCAGGCCTTGCCTTACAGATGTCACTAGGCAGTTTTAGTTACTTCCCATAGCCGCCTTGTTATCCCACCACCACACGTGCACACTAAACACACATTTTCGTGCACATGCTGCTGTTTATTACACTTACAGTACAATACATAGCTAATACACTCGCGTACATACCAACCTAATTACAGAAGCTAGAAATAACATAAGCACTTTGTACTACTACACCAACTTTCATACCTTGCTCCAAATATTAAAGCTCACTTTACAATATCTGGTTTCCTGAAACATTTCTCATGGAAAAAAACGGTGATGTAGGACAATTTCTTTCTTTCAAAACTTTTGTATTTGATATGTTAGTTTTGAACGATGAAACTGATATTTGACCAAACTGTTTAGATATATGAAATTCAGACCTTTCATGACGGAACAAAGGCCCCGATCTGTTAGGGGTTACTGGTCACCCTATTAACAATCCCAGACCTGGCTAGCCGCGCACGTGTTTTTTAAAAACCCAACTTTTAATTGAGAACACATTGTAAGTAGGATGTTTAGATTAGTTTCTCAGGAAATTAGAAAATAAAAAGTCTGGTGATAATGGCGTTATAATGAACAGGTCGGGCTGGGAGACCGTCAGATACACGCGAAACATGCAATGTTGGGTCGCTAGCTTTTCTAATAAACTGTGTGTCGACTGATCCATACTAAACAAAGTTTAATGGGAGAACTTTTCTCTGTTTTTTCAGCAATCTGTTTACCAGGTTGTCATCCAGACAACGGCTTCTGTGACGCCCCGAGCGAATGCAAGTAAGTTGAAAACCTAGTTTCTCTCCCAGACACGCAGGAGCAATCTCTCGCGCTCGGGGAACTATGATTGATTTGAATGAGAAAACAACTTCAACTGTTGGCGTTCTCAAGCCATAGATTGTAACGAATGGTTGCGTTGGAGGATTGCATGTTTAGTGTGAATATATTCATACCGTGAAATGCACGTGCTGCCGTTTACAATTCTTACAACTTGACGGCTGATATGATCTAGGGCTACAACAGTGCTACCTATAGATTTACTAAATAGCGGCGCACACACACATATATATATACTGGATTCTACACGTGCTAGCTGCTCGAATATTTCATATGTAGAATAGGTATTCCAATGAAAACCATCTCTGATGGTAAGACTCTTGAAACTTTTACGAGTATGGCTGTAAGTGATTTAATGCACTTCCATAAAAGTCAGAACTGTTTGAATAGAAGATCTCTTTCATCCTTAATAGAATAATGAAAACAACATTTCTGACCGCTGCAAGTCTTTCACTGACCATGACTCGTGTAGGTAGTTTAAGAGTTTTTTTGACGTTGAACCGAATATGAAATAATGAAAACTGTGTTCATGGGGTCATCATTCATTTTCGGTCAGTTTAAAACCGGCTCGATACAAACATATTTACTATGTTTTATGATGGTCATAAATAAGAGTTTTGTTAACCATGATTTGAGATGGTCATAAATAAGAGTTTTGTTAACCATGATTTGAGATGATCGGTGACTGATAGAAATGTGATCTTTTATGTTTTACTTGTAAGTTTGATTGATAACTAACGAACGTCTTGGGTGTTGCAGATGCCGAATGGGATACAAGGGCACTTACTGTGACCAGTGCGAGAAATATCCAGGATGTATGAACGGCACGTGCACAGAACCATGGCAGTGTATTTGTGAGGAAGGTTGGGGTGGACTCTTTTGCAATCAAGGTACTATATGATCACAAATTTGTTCAAAAGCAACATACAAGCAGACTAATATATCATTTATTAAATGGTCTTCTGTAAAAAGAAAACGAACGGTAGCGTATATTGTAAAGATATTGTAGAACTGACTTTTACATCACTGTAAAATTTAGCGATTTCAATTAAGATTCCTTGACGCTGTAATCATAGATTAATGTTTCCGTGTTTGCGGAGTTGCCGTTCACCCACTCCGGAGGGATTGCTTGCTGGATTTGATATGCGACACCCGATGTAATTCTGTCTACGTCTTTTTTTACAGATCTAAATTTCTGCACCCACCACTCGCCCTGTCGTAATGGTGGTATCTGTACCAACACTGGCCAGGGAAGTTACACATGTACTTGTCAGCCCGGTTACATGGGTACCAACTGCGAGATCGAGATGGACGATTGTGAACAGCAGCCATGTCAAAATGGCGGCACATGTCAAGACTCTGGGACAGGATATAAATGTAAATGTCCCGACGGTTTCACGGGCAGACGATGTGACACTCTGGCGGTCTCGTGCGAGAACGAGCCATGTCAGAACGGTGCTACATGCGAAAACACGGAAACAAGCTACAGGTGCACGTGTGTGCCTGGATACACGGGGTACAACTGCGACGCGGAGATAAACGAATGTGCAACTTACCCCTGTCAGAATGGTGAGTAGATTTAGATTTTACCTGTTGAATACAGGATTTAATTAACAATAGTTCGTATTCTTCTGATATGCCATGGTTACTGGCATCTACATTTCCTGGATCGAGTCGTGATGGAACTGGTTTATTCAGATCATGGTACGTTCTAGTGGCGATATTTCTGTACTGTCTTGTATGGTGGTATACATGTCTCAGGTTGTGATATTTCTGTGGGAAAACGTTTTGTAGTAGTATGCATATCTCATATCTATCTGGATTATGCTGTATAGTGGTAAACGTGTCTGGTATGACTTACAGTCGGTAATAAGGTGGGGAAATCCTTTATAGTGGTATACGTATGTGGTACGAGTTTTTGGTATATTTATGGTGTAGTGGTATACGTATGTGGTACGAGTTTTTGGTATATCTATTGTGTAGTGGTATACGTATGTGGTACGAGTTTTTGGTATATTTATGGTGTAGTGGTATACGTACGTGGTACGAGTTTTTGGTATATTTATTGTGTAGTGGTATACGTGTCTCTGGAATGGTTTACTATGTAGTATTCGTGTCTGTGGGTTAGTAGGATACAGATTTGGCAAGGTAGTAGGAACTCAGCAGGTGCCACTACACTTGTATGTACTATGCAGATACCAGCACAAACTGAGAGCACGTGCTCACCTATTTCACTACCAGGACTGACAAAAGCCATTTCCAAATGAAATCATTCATCATACTTTCTGCGATCTTTCATATTTTTCAGTTTTGTAGCGAAGCATTACCTTGCGGAGTAATTTTGTACAATTTTCATCCGTTCCAGTATGTTTGCTCAATAGTTTGTCGTAAAGCATAAATGTTCCACTGGATTAGCTGAATCTGTATCTTTCCCCAATATTATCCAACATGTTGCGCGATTTTGTTGCTTGCCCGTGGCTTAACGAGAACATCTACATTCCTTCATAATAACGATACTACGTGTTATAACACAAATACTACCACGTGACATTTTTTGTGTATTGTAGGTATTAATCAGTCTGTACATACACTTTCTTTGGTATGTAATTGAATGCATTAGATGTTCACATTGTCTGCAAATGTTGCAGTTTCTTACCAGTGTTAGGTCACGACTAGTGAAAGACAGAAGGGACTTCCTATTTCGTACTTCGAGATTTGGTTTCAGAGACGGAAATGTTTTTATCTAAATACACGTAGAAAAAAAACAGGCGACAAATGCGTTGTTGTGTAATTAATCCAGTATCGCTTTTAGGAGCTAATAGTATGGCTTATGTCCCACCGTCTGTCGTTAAAAGCCCCCGGGTGTTGATCCAAGTCGGAAGCAACAGAAGGTTTGACAGATTCTTGTCGTTGAGTTTTGTTTCTCAAACCAAACCAGTTGACATTAATCACAAAGCGACTAGATACCCATTGACTTCAAGCTTTGTGTCCGAAGAAAAGAAAACTTGTCTGGTTTATGTAATTTATCTGTATGGCAGTGATGTATTACTGGTTTACTGGGGAGAGATCGATGACAAATCGATAATGTTATTAGGCTAAGCAATAGATAGGTTAGATAAGTTGTACTCTTACCACCAAAAAGGCCAATACTCTTGCTGTAGTCAGATGGCCAGAAACACGCTCTATATATTATGTTATACAATCATGCACTTTATATGTTCCAAATTATGGCTTTCTCTTATGCAATTTAGATTGGTTATATTGGCTGTGTGTGTTATGTAGCCTGTAACTTGGAGAGTCTTTATGGCCCTAGGTCCATCTGTGCCGAAATCAGTCGACCATAACGGATACAATTGAATTAACGGTCCACGTGTTTTTTTCCGTTACAGAAGGCCGATGCGTGGACGAATTGAACGGTTACAGGTGTGTGTGCGCGGTCGGGTTCCAGGGCCAACATTGTGAGGAGAACATCATTGACTGCAAGCAAAACACGTGCTTGAACGGAGGAACATGCATGGATCGAGTGAACGGGTTCGAATGTCGCTGTATTCCCGGTTTTGTTGGATCGCTTTGTCAGAAAGACGTTGACGACTGTGAGCTCCGACCATGCTCCAATGGTGGTACGTGCCACGACAAGGTCAATGATTTTTCATGCGACTGTCTACCGGGTTTTACTGGCAAAGACTGTCGGATAATAAAGAAAGAATGCGATAACGAACCCTGCAAGAACGGTGGCAGCTGCATGGATCGCCTAAATGACTATCAATGTTTGTGTGTGTCCGGTTTCTCTGGAAAGGATTGTAGCGTTACGGATGACACAACTCCTATCAAAAACGGTTCAATCGTGAATGTGGTGAATGAGATTAAACAGACCGCCGAGAAGGAAATAACGATGATGCAACTAGTACTAATCGTGTGTCTTGGTGTTGGAATACCACTGCTCCTTCTGATCATTGTAGTGATTTTCTTTCTGTTGAGGAAGAGAAACCCTGCGACTGCAGAACCACATTCATTGGAGAAAGAGCAAAATTTGCAGAACAGTCATATAAACAACAAACTCGAGTCGGCCATATTTACGACGGGCCCGCTTCCACAGAGTGGTTCTGGTGTGCCTAATGTGAAAACCACAAATGAGGACAATGATTTCAATACTTTCAAACCAAACGCGAGTTATTACGAAAAATCAACAAATAAGCAATTTCTGTATAGCAAAGACTTAAATACAGAACAGTTCGCAAAGACTCCCCCTCCTCCCCCGCCTCCAAAAGACATTAACATAAAACATAGTGAGTGTTATGAAACAGACAACTCGTCCGGGAGTAACTCCATAAATGATATCAGGTAAGTCATTTCGGCAATTTTAACCTACACCTGTAAACCTCGTACTTCTTTCACAAGCTGATTTTCTTTTCAACCAGATGTTGCGTCTTCTCTATTTCCGTGGGAAAATCTTGAGGAAAAGTCAGTTGATTAGTTCCAATAAATATTTTATCAGTCACATTTCTTTCAAGTTGTTTAATACCGATATGGCTTCGTTAATGAGTCCGATGCTGTGTGGCTTCAGTCATGCTTATTGTCACGTGACCATTTGTACTAACCTGACCTTTTTTTTCTGTATTTTTCAGTTGTTACAACACCGACATACACATAATCGGGAGTTCTCGGACACTTAACAAAGACACAAATAGACAATCAGCCTCCATATTAGAGCAACACGCGCAGCACGTGCCTCCACCCCATCCTGCGCACGTGCATCGACAGTCGTTTTACTGTGACGAGGTGTTAGCGACGGCGGTATAGCACGACCTCAGATAGACACCTTTATACATTTCCATGTCTCTTGCAATATACCAATATAATTAATAACTATTCCTTGCTAAACAGATATGCATATTTTGGGATTTTGATTTAAAGTGCCTTTTTATGTTTTTTTGTACAGTGAAATTAAGCGCGAAATATTGTTTTTCAAAATTTAGATTTTGGAATTGTGGATGTTTCTGTCTCCTGGAGCAGTGCACTCAGATAGGAATTAGGCTAAAAGCCGGGTTATGCAACAGCGCGTTCGCTGAGTGGACGGCCAGGCCGTTGTTTCTGTTGACATAAAAGTGTGCTCCCACTTTGGACAATGTGTATGTGTTTGGTCCTCCAGATATCGGTGCTTGAGCCATCTGTCAGTCTGGACACTGGCCTGCTTGACCACATTGGAAATATCGGACAGTGTATAAAGATTAAAACGCTGGCGCACGAACTTGTGATAACTTTGTCAATCCATCCATTTAGTTTTATTTATTGGCTGATTGTGTAGAACCGGAAGTGACTGGTTGCCCAGGTCACATGACCAAATATGGCTGCCACGTTAATTTTTCCGCTACTGCATGGACATTTCTTAATTTTGTTGAATCTTTGCATGAAGACGTTTTGTTGAAAGTTGTGAATGTGTTTTTGTGTGTGCGTGGAAGTGTTTGTTGATTTTGATCGAGTTGAAGATTGTTTTGTGCAAGTGACGTTTATATAGTTAATAAATAAGCAGTATTTAATGACTTCCAGCCAACGCATTTGATAAATAGGGCATGCCGGGATACATTTTTGTATATCATGGATTTTGTTAATTTTATCAGAACCGAGCACTTGTTCAATTCGTTGTTAAAGAAGCAAAAATCTATAGTCACTTATTTAAGAATATTGATGGAAAGGCTGCTTCTGTGTGTTTTAATTTATTGTGTATTTATTCCATTGGTCAGCCGGTGAGAATCCCGAACAATTCCAGTGCTGGGATTTACTTACTGAGGACATTTTTATGGAACCAAAGGCGCTCATCAGTTTTATTGAACAAAGATCACCGAGATCGTGTGCATTTCGCTACTCGTTACTTAAAACTCCTTTCTAAGCTCTTTCTATCCCTCATTCAAATCATCCTGGGTAGTAACGTGCAACATCTTCATTTTTCAAATCTCTTCAAGTCTCCGACGAATGGGCGAGTTTGCACACGGTCTTGGTAAACGGGCGTGGCCAAATCTAGCCATGCTCTCTCCATCATTCCAATACACGCAACAAGGGAACAAGGATCGCTTGTCTCCAAAGTAGTTTTCATAATTTCATCTGCTGGAGAGCCGTTGTTACATATCACATTCGAATTGTTCATGTCCATTTTCATCGCTATTTTCATCACTTTCATCTGATGAATTAGACGGTTGCTCCGTCGTTACGTTGGTTACATAAGGGCGTGGCTTGTTGCCATGGCGCCCGCGACTAATTGCCTGTGATGTTGTACATAGAATGTATATTTATAGAAGAACCGGATGTATATATATCTGTTGATGCCATTATTATCTATTGGTAATTCACACCATCATGAAATAATAAAAAGGTCACAATTGACTATTTTTCAAAGAATTCTAATCTTCACTTTTTTATGACCGCGGGATATTATATGGGAATAAGATGGACGAGATATTGTCATATTTTGAAAGTAAAAAGATAACATCAACGAAATACCATCGTTTACTGCGTCAGATGGGCCAATGGCCCAATTAATGAGCTCGACAACAGATTAACACTTATCAGCCTATTAAAAAAATAATATTTCAGACGGGATATTGACAGTGTGTAAATTTTAAGGTTGATGGGTGGTCAAAGGTTCACAAATAAGGTTCTCCTTTTATAACCTCTTTTTGAAGCACTTGTCGAATGACTCCAGAATACATCGCCTTTGTTTCGTAAAACTCCGGAATACTCCGTTGTTATTCGACAATCTCCGTTTGTGACGAACAGTGTATGGCCTTTTTATTGTATGAAGGAATGGTGATACGATAGAACGTATTTGGTAGGTGTGATGGATTGCTTTGAAGCTCTTCTCCTACTTACGCATTGCTAAGCTTATCGACATTTTTGAGCAGTTTTACTGGGTTATACACACAGAGCAAATACAACCAGTCCTGTGGCAAGAGATCGAATTGTTTACACGCTGTACCTAATAGTCATCGCGCAACATCTGTAAGAGCACAGCTGATTGACAGGATTAACTCAGCTCATTTGCATATCGGTGGATTAATATAGCTGTGAAGTTATACACACATATATAACGTTAAGTGTGTATTTGTTCGATCTCAACTCGCTCTTGTCTAGATCGTGTGACAGTGCTTAGGAGATCTGTTTTGTCACGACGTTATAGGATGATGAGGATAACGCTACTATAACTGTAGTGACAATGTGAGATGTCACGTGGTTTGTATGAATGAAACACGAAAATAGGATTACAGAACCGAGTCTTTTTGTATAGTCCATAGGGACGTGAGAATCAAATGTTTCAATTTGTCTGAATGTACAGGAATGTTTTTATTCAATAACTTGACAAACGTGAGTCTACTTAAATACATCTTTAGTTGTAGCTGGTCTTACAAGCCGTTGGTTATAAATCAAAAGTATTTCATTTGCATTCACGTTCTAACTATATCTCGAGTCCCTGTGTCTAAACGACACATTCTAACTATTTCGAGTTCCTGTGTCTAAACGACACATTCTAACTATATCTTGAGTCCTTTTGTCTAAACGACACATTCTAACTATATCTCGGGTCCCTGTGTCTAAACGACACATTCTAACTATATCTCGGGTCCCTGTGTCTAAACGACACATTCTAACTATATCTCGGGTCCCTGTGTCTAAACGACACATTATATCTATTTCTCGAATCCATGTGTCTAAACAACACATTCTAACTATTTCGAGTCCCTGTGTCTAAACGACACATTCTAACTATATCTCGGGTCCCTGTGTTTAAACGACACATTCTAACTATTTCGAGTCCCTGTGTCTAAACGACACATTCTAACTATATCTCGGGTCCCTGTGTTTAAACGACACATTCTAACTATATCTCGGGTCCCTGTGTCTAAACGACACATTCTAACCATATCTCGGGTCTCCGTGTTTAAACGACGCATTCTAACTATATCTCGGGTCCCTGTGTCTAAACGACACATTCTAACTATATCTCGGGTCTCTGTGTCTAAACGACACATTATATCTATTTCTCGAATCCATGTGTCTAAACGGCACATTCTATCTATATCATAAGTCAGTGTCTAAACGACACCTTATAACTGTTTCTCGAGTCCCTGTGTCTAAACGATACACTCTATCTATATCTCGAGTCCCTGTGTCTAAACGATACATTATATCTATATCACAAGTCCATGTGTCTAAACGACATCTTATAACTGTTTCTCGAGTGCCTGTGTCTAAACGGCACATTCTAACTATATCTTGAGTCCTTTTGTCTAAACGACACATTCTAACTATATCTCGGGTCCCTGTGTTTAAACGATACATTCTATCTATATCACAAGTCCCTGTGTCTAAACGACATCTTATAACTGTTTCTCGAGTGCCTGTGTCTAAACGACACCTAATAACTCTAACCCGGGTCCCTGTATCAAAGCAACACATTCTAACTACATCTTGAGTCCCTGTGTCTAAACGACACGTTCTAACTATATCCCGGGTCTCGTGTGTTTAAACGACTCTTTCTAACCATATCTCGGGTCCTTTTGTCTAAACGTCGCATTCTTGATATATCTGATGTCCCTCTGTCTAAACGATACACACTATGTACGTTTTCCCTAACAGCAACTTGCAGAAATAACGACCAACGACAGACAATGAGAAACGCCCAAAGTAAAACTTGATATTTGCCCAAATTATTTTTGAGATGCAAACATCCTAAACAAAATTGTCAAATCAGACTGCTTTCAAATAAAAATGAAATCAGAAGTGTATTGATTTACGCAGCAAGGGGCTCATTTTAGCTGGTTTTCGGTCGAAACCTTCTCTAGAAAATTGTACTCTCCTCAGGCTTTTAGTGGTAATGTTTGTTTAATTCACCGTCAAATGAAATTTTGAAATTGAAACAGAACACATGTGATTAAATTCAAAATAAAAATATATGGCCCGCAGAAGTTACTTGTGAAATGTACTATTGAGAAATCTTAATTTATCAACTTGTTCTGGCCCTTTTAAGCCACCAGCAATTCACAACAGTAGCAACGTCATCATATATTATGTAACGTATTTATCATTACAATTGGCATATAAAGTGAGGCTAGCACGACCAATTTAACTGTCAGCACGCACCCGTATTACGATACAATGTGTAATTCTGCCGGATAAACAAAGTCCTGTTCTAATGGAAAGTGACGGGATTTCAAATGGTGTTGCTATGACGACAAAATAGCTTTACAACTAGAATCAGATGTTGAACATTAAAATCCTCTTAGACAAGGTTTTGTGTACGACACGCGTTCATGTGACTTTAACCGATTTTACACGCGTTCAAGTCACTGTTGTAATGGTGTGTACGTGACAAATGAGTCACAAATGCGCCTCAGTGACCAGAACCGTGACCTGGTGTCTCACATCCGTCTCAGAGACGTGTGTCTGATAATGTATCACACACACGTTTCAGTGACCAGGGCTGCGCATTTGTTTCACGCACACGTCTCACTGACTAGGGGCATCATATTGTGTGAAACTCACGTCTCACTGACTAGGGGCATCATATTGTGTGAAACTCATGTCTCACTGACTAGGGGCATCACCTGGTGTCACACATACGTCTCAGTGATCCAGGACCATGACATGGTGTTACATACGTACGCACCACTGGCCAGGACCGTGGTCAAATGTCCCGCGCGTGCTTCAGTGACTAGGGCAGTGGCCTGGTGTCACTTGCATGTATATGTGACCAGGGCCGTGGTCCGGTGTCACTCGAAAAGGGACCAGGGCCTTGGTATAATGTCATAGACACATTTTAGTGACCAGAGCTGTGGACTTGCGTTACACACATTTAAGTGATTACCACCTTGGTTTTGGTGTCACACACACGTTTCAGTGACTAGGAACGTAGTTACACATTCTCCTTTTTTTCTTATCACTGACATCAAACACTGAACTCAAATTAGTTTTTTTCCACCTCACCTTAATGATCATTCCAGAAAAATTAATTCAAATTACTTCCCTGACGATATCTATCCTCGTCAAGTATCTGCATGCTTCTGTTTCCTGCATAATAAAAATAAAAATATTTCAAAAAATCTAATGCCCTTTCCAGTAAAATACAAACGAATTAGTAGCGCAGCTCAATTGTTCGTAAAACAAATGTCTGATATCATTAAAATGCCATACACAAGCAACCTGCGATATTGTGCCTCCTTTTAGTACTCGTGAGTCTGTTAAAAATCGAAGTCGCCATTCCTGGGAAGACAAAGCCCAGCATGTTACATTGTGATTTCACACAGTGGCATCCTAAACCTTATCCGGAAGTGCATACCAATACCGGAAGTGCAATTCAACACCGGAAGCATAAATCAGGACGTACTGCGTGGCACCTTATTAAAACAGAACTATGCAACTATATACAAGTGTAGATTACTATAATTAGCCTTTCATTTGAAACACTACGAGTGTACTACAAAACCTGTTATCTAGCGACCTTCTTAGCATACCAGTGTAGTAGTAATGGTCAGTTTTTGAGTGACCCTTGCATGACTTGACCAATATTAAGCACGAAGAGGAAATGGCCGATAAAGACACTTCACTAGCGAAGGTCTTTGAAAAATCAAAGGAGACCAAGAGAAAAAAACCTACTTCATCTTATTAAGGATTTCTTAAGGATTAATTAAAGCCTTAGTTTTAATTTCCTTCCCGCTGATTGAATATGTGAGACATAGAAAGGACTTGAAAAGGATGCACAAATTGGTAACAATTAGAAATGAGCCTTTGGCGGCCGGACGGAATGAACCACTGTCAGAGACTTCAGATTTGAGTAGGGCGGTAACGCCCATTCACCCACAATCCTCAGCACGAGGTGGTTTTGGTGACGTCACACTAGTATCGTTGCTTTTGAAGTATTTTTGATAGTTATAAATTGAAAAAAGGCATGGTATACATGTAAATTCATTTCTGGGACATCATGAATATAGTAGTCAGTGACGCGATAGTGTGGTATCATTTATTGTCATACCGACATGGTGTGGTATATACCTTTCCATCACCGTCACCACCGTGTAGTATAGCTATGTGTCACCTTCAACTCGACGCGGTCTACATCTGTGTAACCGTCAACAGGGTGCGGTATACATCTGTATCAACGTCAACAGGGAGCGGTATACATCTAAATCACCGTCAACAGGGTGCGGTATACATATGTATCACCGTCAACAGAGTGCGGTATACATCTGTGTTACCGTCAACGGCGCGGTATACATCTGTGTCACCGTCAACACGGCACGGTATACATCTGTGTTACCGTCAACACGGCGCGATATACATCTGTGTCACCGTCAACAGGGTGCGGTATACATATGTATCACCGTCAACACGGTTCGGTATACATC